TTTGTAGCTTCTATTTCCTTATGTGCTCTCTTAGTGAATTTTGTCTTCAACCGTGAAGCTACATAAGCTCTTTTGGCATTACGAACCATGCACTGCCTCCTTATATCTTCTAACATCTCAAGCAAAGGTTTCTTTCTAGCTTCCTTAATGGTCTTATTGAAAGACTCACTAAGGTTGTTCAAGTTATCATTACAAAAAGATCCTATCCTAAAGTAAGCCCTAGACCATGCTAAAGGGTTTGTCTTAAGCAGAGAATCATACGCACCGGCACTATAGTTTTGAAGCGCTTTCATATTGTCTTTGTAGTCTCCATCGGTATAACTGCGTGCTATTTTCCAAAACAGAATCTCTAATTTAGGATCTTTGCTATCTCTCTTCCAATTGGCCAAAATGTGTCTTGCACACATCCGATGTTCAGCCTCAGGAAGCTCTTCTTTCACAGCATTCAACAGTCCCTATATAAACCAATACACAATCTTAGTTAATCTTTTAAAAGAAAACAATATATAGATAATAGAAATGTGTATTTCATACCTTTTGCTTGTCTGATATTATGGTGATCTTTGCACCATTTTCTAGTCCCAAATCAGCTTTAAGAAGCTTCACAAACCATTCCCAATTGACATTATTCTCAATCTCAACCACAGCCCATGCGATTGGCACTATCCTATTGTCTCCATCTCTTCCCACAGCAGCTAGTAGATGGCCTTTGATATCCCACTTCAAAAAGGCACCATCTAACCCAATAATAGGCCGACAACTTTCTATCCAAGTTTCTCTTTGTGGTGTGAAACAAATGTACATGCGATCAAACCTTTGCTTGCTTGTTGGTGTTGCCCCTGGAATAGTCTCAATCACCACCGTAGAATATGGGTTTGTTCTCATAAGCTCTGCCTTATAATCCCATATGCGAGAGAAGTGTGTTTCATGGCCTGCTTTTCTTTCCCGATACAGTTTCGATTTAGCTTTTGCACACTGCTCCTCGGTGACAATCAAGTTGAACTCTCTCTTTATCTCATCAGCCATTTCCTTCTTGGTGAACTTCGGGTTTATCCTTAATCTCTCTTCAAAGATTGAAGCAATCGATGACCTTTTTAGCATCTTTGAATAACCCGATCTCAGACATATATGCTCGTTGATGTGTACCTTAATTTGCAGTTTGTGTTTTCTTCTCTCATACGAGCAGTAAACTCTCCAGGGACACTCTGTTTCTTTGTCTGAACATTTTGCACCAAGCTGTTTCGATGTAGACTTGTAAAGCTTAATATCATACCTTGTCCGTAGCGAGTATCGTAGCAGTGCAACCTTGAAGTCACAAGCACTGTTAAACGTCTTCCCCAGAAACAAAAGCTCTTCACTNTGTGTTTTCTTCTCTCATACGAGCAGTAAACTCTCCAGGGACACTCTGTTTCTTTGTCTGAACATTTTGCACCAAGCTGTTTCGATGTAGACTTGTAAAGCTTAATATCATACCTTGTCCGTAGCGAGTATCGTAGCAGTGCAACCTTGAAGTCACAAGCACTGTTAAACGTCTTCCCCAGAAACAAAAGCTCTTCACTATCAACTGTATTGGCACGCATCTCTTTACGCTCCACAGCATCTTCGTCATCGTCAGATGATAAAGGATCGGGAATGATATCTTCATCCCAAATATCGTCACCACTATCAGCATCACTTGCTTCCTCTGCTTCTCTAGCAACATCCCCAAAGTGAACTCCTAAATCTACACAATCTTCTTCATCAACTCTGATTCCATTGGCCTCATCTTCATCTTCTAACTCATCTTCATCATCATCCACGATAGCTTCACAATCATCTTCATCTTCCTCAACTGCTTCTCCTTCTCTGTTTTCTCCATTGTTTTCTCCTCCAACCGTTTCAGCTATGGTCTCTTCGGTCTCAATCTCTACGGCTTGAACTTCCTCTATAACATTGTCGACTCTACTAGACCCTTCTTCTCTATTGCGAGTGGACCATCGTGTAGGGATTTTACCTCCCCTTCTCTTTGGATCCATCTTTCTCTCTTTACAGTTTTCTGAAAGTTTGAAGTGAGACACGAGATAGAGAATTAGGGATTTAGATCGATGAATTGAGGATTTCTGCTTTAGATTAGGGTTTTTTTCATTAAGCCAAAACGACGTCGTTTAACGACTAATCATCTGTTAAACGATATTTAACGGTTAATTAATTACAAGGTTAAAAGTACTTGGTCAACGAAAGTTAATGATTTTATTGTGTTTGACCAATAATTCGTGATTTAAATGGCCTATTTTGAAATTCAAGGTTATTTTGGCTTATTTTGGAAAGTTCGCGATTAAAAAGTCAATTTTCCCGATTCTTAAATAATAAATATTTTTTTTTTCTGCTTGCTTGTCTAAAATATAAATTTCAGTGTCAAGAGAAAGGGAGTCCGTTATCACTTTAGACAAGAGGACACTGGGCTCACAGAGAAATCTCCAGAAAGCAAAAATATAATAATTCCTTCATCTCCTAGTTTGATTGATCAATGAATTCTCTGCAACTACACTGCTTCCTCCCTCCCAAACAACACCACCGTCTTCATCTCCGCTGCTTCACTCCCCGCACGTGCCACTTTCTCAGGAAAATCAGCTTCACAACCAAGGCCAACGCTAACTCCTTCGCTTGCTTCGCGCAATCCGAGACGAAGCAATCATCAGGCATCGGAACCGAAGAGACTTCTTTATCAGAACCTGAACGGCCTCCGTTCGACATCAATCTCGCCGTAATCCTCGCCGGTTTCGCTTTCGAATCCTACGCTACCCCTCCGGTAACTTCATTTTTAATCATTCTTCTTCTTTTGAGAGTTCTTCTTGTATCCTCTGCTTTGATTTTCTCAGGATAACATCGGGAAACGTGAGGTTAATGCAGCTGGTTGTAACACTCTCTACCTCTCAGAGTATGTCACTCTTTTCATTTGACGCTTTTGTTGCCAAAGAGCTATAATAATAATATATACTTTGTTTCAGGTCATTTGTAAGAGAAGTATATGATGGACAGTTATTTATTAAACTCAAAAGAGGATTTGATTTTCCTGCCTTGGATCCATGGGTTTGTCTTTCCTTTAACAACTTTTATCTTCTTCTTCTTTTTTTTGTTATCTTATTGTTTTTTTTTTCGTTTCAGGGAACGAGTGATCCCTATGTGGTGATGGACTTGGATGGTCAGGTTGCTAAAAGCAAAACCAAATGGGGGTAAGTTTCTTGCAGTTCTCATTTCTGCTTCTCTAGCGGTTATGTTTTTTTGTAGAAGTGTTCTGATCAGTTTTGATTAGCTATATGGCTTCTTAATCAAAATTTAGGATTCCTCTTGAATAAATATTAACTTCGTTTATATTCATATGTTTTGATGTTGAGTTTCGAAGTAGATTTTCCGTTTTGTCCCAATGTTATGAGCCTTAGAAATCCATATGTTTATTTCTTATTGGATGTTAAATAACAGACCTTAGTTACTGATATAAGTATTGAACTTGTTGTTCTTAATATATTACTTTATTGACAGGACAAAAGAGCCCAAATGGAACGAAGACTTTGTTTTAAATATCAAGCTGCCTCCTGCAAAAAAGATACAGGTACAATATTTGTTTAAAGTATTGTGTGGCCTGGTCAATTCTGATAGTAGCTAGTCAAAGTCTTATTGAAGTTTTGAGTCTTAAACATAGTCAACTATTATGTTATTCGATGTCTTAATGACCTTCAGATTGCTGCTTGGGATGCAAATCTTGTCACCCCACATAAACGGATGGGGAACTCCGAAGTCGACCTCGATTCCATTTGTGATGGTGAGAGTTAGTTCACACATTCATTACATAATTTCGAGTTTTAAGCATTTAGGGGAGAAAAGTCTGTTTTTTTTTTTGGGTATACTTCTTTGGAATATGAATCCAAAGTTCTCCGTAACCCTCCTCGAGAACACTATGCACTAACAAATATTAAGATTACGAGACACTGGGCGAGGTTTTGGCGTTATTAAGACTAGAGGAATTATCTGTGGATCAGTTATATCTTACCTGCAACTTCTGTCTCATATTTATACTTGTTCTTTTTTCTTTTGCCAAGGAAACTTGCACGAGGTGCTAGTAGAACTAGACGGTATTGGAGGTGGTGGGAAAGTTCAACTAGAGGTTAGTTTATTCTGTCATAAAGCCTATTTCTTTTCTTTGAGAGTGTTGCTTATCTGTCGAGATGGTCGATTTATCTTACATTTTTGTTTTAGCATATACAATTCACTTATGTAAATTGTACCTCTTTCTTGGGTTCCATAGATTCACATGGTTTCTATATGCTAAAACAAAAATCTTAGTATATCTACTACTTTGGCATTTGGCTTGACCGTATTTTAAAAATAAATCAGATTAGATACAAGGGCTTTGGGGAGATTGAAGATGAAAAGAAGTGGTGGAAGTTACCGTTTATTTCAGAATTCCTTAAAAGAAACGAAATTGAGTCAGTTTTGAGCAATCTTGTTGACTCTGATGCCATTCCAGCACGTCAATTTGTAGAGTACGCCTTTGGGCAGTTAAAGTCACTCAATGATACTCCTCCTAAGAACACTGAACTTCGAAACAATAATATGGATTGTTCCAAAGGTGACGAAAACTCTAGCTCAGAGGATTCATTAGATGCCAACAACCGTAGTGAAGATAAAGAAGGTGATGATGATGGCAGCAGCAGTGAAAGTGGTAGCATTCAGTCAGAAAGTAATTTTTGGGATAGCTTCCCTGACATAGTTAGTCAAAATATCGTCCAGAAACTTGGCCTTCCATTACCTAAAAAATTGAAGTTAGATGGAATGGAAATACTGGAAAAATTTGGTCTACAATCACGAAAAACTGCAGAAGCTGGTTACATTGAATCAGGGCTTGCCACTGCTGATACTCGAGAAGTTGATGATGAAAAGGAAGGTGGTCAGCTTACTACTAACGCACCCAAGTCTTCCATTAGAGACATGAAGAGTGCAACACAAGAATTGCTTAACCAGGCTGATAATGTCTTTGGTGCTTTAATGGTTTTGAAAGCAGTAGTGCCTCAATTAAGCAAGAACGGTCTTGGTACAGAGAAGGTCTCAGGAGAAAATGGTGGTTCCGGTGTAAGAGACGATTTCTCAAGGTTCTCTAAGAGTGAGAAACTCTCTGGTCTAGTGAATGTTGACAGAGAGGATGAAAAGAACGCCGAGGAAATGAAAACACTCTTTTCTAGCGCAGAAAGTGCTATGGAGGCATGGGCAATGCTTGCCACTGCCATGGGACATCCAAGCTTTATCAAATCTGAATTTGAAAAGCTATGTTTCCTAGACAACGACATCACTGACACTCAAGTAAAAACTCTTCTTCTTGTTTACTAACTGATGATAAATCCTTTCCTGGAAAACAAGTTCACATTATAAAGTGAGAGACTAATTTGCAATCTGCAGGTGGCAATTTGGCGTGACGCAAGGAGGAAAAGAGTAGTTATAGCTTTCCGAGGAACTGAACAGGTATGTATTTATCTATATCTTCTCAATATTTTGTGGTTTATTTTTCTCCTTGAGTTATGAGACTCAATGTTTCATATTTTGTTAGACAAAGTGGAAAGATTTGCAGACTGACTTGATGCTAGTTCCTGTTGGGTTAGTGGCTTCTATATGCACATTTGAAGTTTTATCAAGCTATTATTATTCATCTCTCGCTCAACATTTTCAATATATGTTGCAGTCTAAATCCTGAACGGATTGGTGGGGATTTCAAAGAAGAAGTACAGGTATCATAGTATATTAACAACTCTGGCGTTGTGTACCCTTTACTGAGTTATTACTTAATGCTGCTATTGATTTTGCAGGTCCATAGTGGATTTCTGAGTGCATACGATTCAGTACGGATAAGGATAATATCGCTGCTCAAAATGGCAATTGGCTACATGTATGTGCTGTTATTCGTCTATTTGCTGAGGACAGTACAGTATAGTCGTTGGTCATTACGCCTTTAGATATATTTTCTGATGCATATCTCTCTTCCCCCCTTGGCAGAGATGATGATCCTGAGCGTGAAGATAAATGGCATGTTTATGTGACTGGCCATAGCTTGGGTGGGGCATTAGCTACACTCTTGGCTATTGAACTTGCGTCAAGCCAATTAGCTAAGTAAGTGTGATGAGAACTCCATTCTCCTACATCCCTTGTCTTGTTGGGCAATTTGGTAACATAATTTGTGTATGTTTGTTAGACGTGGAGCAATCACTGTTACTATGTACAATTTTGGATCTCCAAGAGTAGGCAACAAAAAATTTGCTGATGTTTATAACCAGGTGTGTTTCTTTTAACGTGACAAATTGTTATTGACAAGTGTAAGTAAGATGGACACATCGTCATAAAAACTCATTGGTTTATATGTTATGCAATCTGTACTTTCTGCAGAAGGTAAAAGACAGCTGGAGAGTTGTAAACCACAGAGACATAATTCCCACAGTTCCGCGCCTAATGGGTTATTGTCATGTTGCTCATCCTGTTTATCTCGCTGCGGGAGAAGTGGTAAGCGAACCCTTAGATTGCCAATCTTTTTAATCTACACAGATCATTATTTCTTAATTTTCTCATTTGATTGTTTTTGTCTTGGGTAAGTATAGTGTGTAACCTTCGAATTATGCATAAAGTTTCTTTGAATGTGACAAACCATTTATGCATTATGAGCTCTTTAAGTTATATAATATGTTTCCCCCAGTAAGTGTAATTAATAATCAAAAGTTTGCTGATGGGTAATATAATATAGCAGGAGAACATGGATTTTCATAAAGATGGTTATCATGGTGAGGTGATAGGGGAAGCAACACCTGATATTCTTGTTAGCAGATTTGTAAGTCCTCGAAAATCTATTTGTATTTTGGTTTCTTTACTTATTATATCAAATTATCATCATTTTAGTTTTGTTATTCATGTTCCTGTTGTTATTGGGTTTACATGTTTTCCATAGCTAATAATTGAATACACAGCTGGACAAAGAATTCTTTAAACTGACATTTACTTCCTTGGAGCTGCTCTTACTATCGTCCTTTAGTTTTAGGTTTACACTAGCAGCAATTTTGTTGTGTTGGCTTCATATGCACGTGTGTCATACACGTTTATCCATAGACGAATTCAAAACTTATTTACATATTAATCTATTTTGCGATTAAGATGTTTCTACATATGAGATACTATGTAGAGAGGATTATTAGTGATATTGGATTAAAAATTCGTGCTATCTTTCAGATGAAAGGTGAGAAGGAACTTGTTGAACAGATACTTCAAACTGAAATCAAATTATTCAACGCAATTCGTGATGGGAGTGCCCTTATGCAGCATATGGAGGATTTCTATTACATTACACTATTAGAGGTATGTCATTGGTGCACTTTACTTAGGATAAGTATAGCTCCAAAGTTATGAGAGATTCAATCGGTCACAGGATAGTAGTATTTAAACATTGCAAATCCATTTTTGATGGAGCATTTCCGTAACTTATTGGATTTTTGTTTTGTTGGCAATCTTTCCAGAGTGTAAAATTATATTACAAAAATGTTGAAGATCTGGAAGGCGTTGAAAAGACTACTATCTGATGAGTGGGAGAGAACTATGGCCAATATGAGAACATCTAATAGCTCTCGCTCCAGCTTCATCGGATCCCTACTGTATATCAATCTACAAGAGATAAAGCTTCCACTGGGTTTCATTGCTTCTTCTCATTTTATTACAAAGTAAATAATACTATGTACCAAAATGTAATTAGTTTAGATAGACCCTTGGTTCAGTCTTGAAAAACAAAAACATAGACACGATATCAATGATTGGTATCTTATTTGTGAAGTACATACAGAAAGAAATAGTGTCTTCAACCTTACTGAGTCTACTACTTATTCAGCAATCCCTGTGGAGAAAGTGATTTATTTAAAATATGACTAAAGATCTGTTATTTACATGCCATGAATTTTGTTTTAAATATCGGCAGGTTTCTGGTAGCAGATGACGATGTCCTCTTCTTCCCGCTGCTACTGCCGAGGATACGTAGACTTTGTCGCAGTAACTCAATCTCTCTTTCCTTCCCATTTCTTTGTTTCTCCAGGAAAGCTATTCTCCCCTCGAGTGTCTCAATGGTGTCTTCCCTAACTTTGACTTTCTTCCTAAGTTCTTGCACTGTCTTTGCTCCTCCTTGCTGTTTCTGTTGCAGTGTCTCTTCTACAAATAATCAACTCATTACTTTTCCTTTCTCAAAGACCGAAACAAAAAGCTAAAATTTGAGATTAGTTGGCAACTTCTTACCATATGTTGTGTGGATCAGATCATCAAGCTGAGTCTTAACAGTGAAATAGAGTTGTTTCCACCGCTCCACAGCTTCTTCCCTCACAGCCCTCTCTAAGCACATCTGTTCCACGACCCATTCCCAGTCCTGTTGTTGTGCCTTTGCGTCTTCTTTCTCTTGCATCTTTTGTCTTATCCTCGTCACCTCTTCTCTCAGTTTCTTTCTCTCTTTCCTCCACTCTGTCTCGGCCATTTTCAGAGCCGATATGACCCTCTCTTTCTCATCCAGGTCTCTTCTTGTTGGTCTCCTCATCCCTTCATATGATCTCCCCTTGATACTTCTCATAGTACTGTTTCTCTTTTGCTTGCTTGTGGAGCCACCCATGTATTAGATCTTCTTCTTTTCTCTCTCTCTCTATCACTCTGTTGAATGGTTTATTCTTCTTGATATGTTGTTTGTTTCTACTTATCTGAAGAGAGGCTACGTCTGCATTCAATGAAGAGAAATGATTATTTGTGAGTGAAGAAGCTCCACAATGCGGCCTAGCAGTGTGTACCTCACAGGTTATCTTTATTACTATAATAATAACGAGGTCCCAAAAGCATCTTATATTTTATCATCAAGCTATACTTATCCTAACACAGTACAATAAAGTTATTGGAATGTCCAAAACAAAACTAGTAAAAAACACTTCATGGTAATGATTCTCACGTGGGTTGTAACTAGACCATTGTGGAAACAGAAATAAAAAGACAGAAGAAGTTATGGGCAATCTCCGGACAGAGTACAGAATAGGAACACAAGAGAGAAACTAATTAAAGTTTCTTGTGGTTTTAGAATTACAGAAAAAGCTTTGACCAAAAAAAAGAATTATAGAAAAAGCATAAAAGCTATCTTCAATCTCTCATAAATGGAGTGGGCTTTGTTTGTCACATGCATAAAAACATGGACCCATCCCTCTTTACTCTTTTTCTTTTAATTTTAGAATTTATTACTGTTGAAATCAAGCAATAAACAAGATTAGTAATAATAAAATGAAGTGCAGTACGGCAAAATGTAACGAAGTGCACTGAAGTTTATTGAAGCCTGGATAATAAGATAAGGTAAGAAAGAAGTTGGGGAGACTCAATATGAACTTTGGGAAACTCCAAAAATAAGAGAAATCAACTTTGGATGAAAGTATTTAGTTCTATTTAGACAAGAAGAAGTCACATGTGTTGTTTAAGAGAAGCTGATGGACATGTCATTATCAAACCAAAGAGACTGTGCCTCTCCTTCTTGTCACTCTCACTACATCTGGTCATGCATCACTAGGCTTTATCATTTTTGTTTTCATCAGAAACCTACAAAATTATTTGTTTATGTTTCTCTGTTTTAGTAGTTTTTTTAATGTTGCTCATTGCCTATTTAATAGCAGTTTCACCTTTTGTAACTTCAACCAGAATCAATAGATAAGTTTCTCACTAAATTGTGTGTGCTCTCTCTCTTACTTGTGTCTAACTAATATTCACAATGTAATGAGTTAAACATTATGGTTTAGAGACTGCCTTTAACTCTTTGTCTCCTAAGACATCCTAATACTTGTCAAACTACTATAGACTCTTCTTTATCTACTGTCTTAAACTCTTACTTATTGATTCTAAGTCTCATTCATCTAAGTACACAAACTCTAACTATTGTGTTACTTCTCAATGATTAGATTCATACTAGAGATTTTCTGCTTCATATAACTAGTTTATTGTGTACGATTCTTGTAATAGTGAGTTCCTGTTGTTAGATAGAAAGAGATCCAGTCACAAATTGTTTGAATACTCTCTTGACATGAGACAAACACTCATAAATTCCAACAATTACTCCACATGTCGTCTTTGTATAGGTTTCTCCATATATTTGGTTTAAATGGTCTTTATAGCCTATAGGTTTCGTCTTATGAAAACCTAGACTTGCTTTATTTCATCATGGAATCCGTTAAACTGGTTTAAGTAGGCTTAGTTTTGGATCTTACGATGAACAATTGTGATTAATATGATAATGCAGCGATATCTGTATTAGTTGTTAGTTTATACAAATAATTATCTTTTTACAAACTTGAGACATGGTTGAATGATAGGAATCAAGGTTTCTACAGTCTGATATGGAACTGAGCGATAGTTGAACCGCGAGTAAACTGATCCAGTTCTGGTGCAAGGATCAATATCAAGATGTCTGTAGAGCCGAGTGTGCATTCTGTGACTGTGGTTATAGCAAGATGATGATTATTGGTGATCTGTGCGAGTCACTAGGATCGAGCAAGACTGATTGAATGCTTAATGTCCATTATATGTGTGATGATTACTGAGTCATTACATTGTTTGATAGCGTGGATATTGTAAATTGCTTGATTGTCAGTGGCTATTCGATTATCGTTTTGCATTAAACAATATAAAAGGTAATGTGGGAAAACTGATTTAGAACCATTTTCACTGAGTAATTCATTTACCCATGCCTTTTTATTTCCTTGTAAGTAGGACTGTAAGTAAAAGTGATGAGTATGGTTGGGATGAGGTATTTGTACCAAAGGAAATGCGTCTGGAAACATTGGATCAGTAACGTAACACTAACACAGTGGAAATGTTAGGTTGCATAAACATATGTACCTAATCACACACCTAATACTATGAAGATACTTAATTTGAAAAGGAGGGCATACATGGTAGAATCAAAAACCTAATTGGTCAGGGATTGTCCAGTTTGCAGCCTCTTTCGTAACCTTTTTTCATCTCAAAATGTAAGTGAAATCTCAATGAGCAGGATACACAAATCTAAAGAACAAACATATGTAGAAATTCACATTTCCGATTGACAATTAAACTTAGCTCGGTGTCACATACTATTATACTAATCCATATAGTACATTTTCTATGCACTAAGGAGATACACACATCTCAAGGCTTAAAGCATCAATCTAAATCTTACAAAATATGGCATCTTTATGCTTCAAGAGGATGTTCTTAATAACATAGTCCTATTTGAGCATGCAGTATGATCCGTACATGTTTGTAACCACAAACAAACAATGTCAAATAGAACATCATTACAAGATACATGGAGAGATGTACGCACAACCAAATCAGTTGATATCAGTATCGTCGAAATCATCTTCGAACTTGTTGAAGAAATCGGCATCGGCGAGCTTGTTCTCAGAGATAAGTCCTCCTTCGCTGAGCATCTCCATGGCTTCAATGTCATCAACGTCCATGGCCATCGAAGAACCTGCATCATCCATCTCCGCCAGCATATCAAGTTGCATCAGCCTCATTACTATTCTACTTCGCGACTTTTCTCCCTCCTGTAAAGATCGTGAGCTCAGAAAGATGGACAGCATATTTATTGAAGCAATTTTTGACTGAGCCCAACTACGTGGCCCATTACTAGAAGGCCTTTTATCTGGACGAGGACATGGAAGTGGAACGGTAAAAAATCAATAGTAGTATTTGCCCGTATTTTTTCAGGTAATAAAACTACACGAACAAATATAGAAAATATTTTCTTTATTTTTTTCTAAATGTGTAATTATAAGCAAATGTTTAAATATTATATGTTTATATTTATACAACTGTCTAGTAATTTTTGTTCTCACTATTAAAATATATAAAAAATTGCTTAAATATTACAGATTTACATTGATATTGTCGAGATTGGTATTGGACCTGCAAATTAAAAATAATATAGTAGATAATATATGGATTGAATTTTTTGTTAAGATCGGATAGAAGATAAATTCTTAGCAGGCTTATTACTCCAAACAATAGCTATTATTTTAGTTAGACTTATAGAGTTAATTTTAAAATAATTCAAATAAAATTAAATACTTAAATATCAATCAATAGATGATATTTTTTATTTTATTTTTCATATTAAGCTATAGTTAGTTAAGTATCTCAGAAATTTTGCTTATATTATTACAATTAGATATATATATATATATATATATATATATATTATTATTATTATTATTAGGAAATGTTTTCATTAGTAATATGAAAATTAAACGTTAAAAGGTTCTTCAAAACACATGCTATAAATCATCTGTATATGGCATTATTGGTTTCTCTGCTACTATCCGCAAATGAAGTGTTACAGTTGTTGGCGTTTTATAACAATAATATAAAAGGTTATAAATCACTTCAACCCATTTTAAATTTCTAAGATTCAAAAATTGATTTCAGTATCGTTTATAACTGCTGACGGTTGCAAAAGGTTAAAACAAAAGAAAAATTCAAAAAACTATATAAGTAGAAAAGTAAAAATATTCAATTCATTGTTTTAAATTAAAATAATATAAATACCAAAAATATTTATTATATAATTTATGGTAGAACGATAACTATCGTATAGCATCAGATCCCCCACAAAATATAGTCTCGTGCTAGATATCCAAGAACTTACACAAACTTATTTCTCCATGAACTATAATTTGAAACTTAATTACCATAGACGCTGGTTTTAAATTAGTTTACTGGTTTCGGTTTATACTTAACAAAATAAACTAAAATAAACTTAACCAAACAAAACCCAATTTTTTTTCTTCAAGGACGAGAAAGTCAATCCAGCTGAAACTATGGGCAACATTTGATTCATCAACATCTCAATCCGATTCAGCCAGTCTTTTCCATTGAAAAGCATCAAATGCCACGCTGCATAAACATAGTTATAACCCATGGTTGAACTTGTCTGATTTGTGACAGAAAATGGGTGAGAAGGAGAATAAAGAAATGAAAAAAATCAGAAGAATAGCAGGAGGAAGAAGACGATAGAAGAGAGAAAGAGTTAATATATTGTTTTTGATTATTTTTTTGATAAAAACCTGTGTACAGCTTTTTGAGAGGCGTCCTCGGATCTAAATAAAATGCTTAAGTTATAAATGGACTCTAAGCCTGTACTCGTGACAACCCAATTACCAAGATTATCACATAGATGGTGAGAGGCATCATCGGATCTACGTTGGTGAGAAGCATCGTCGATCTACGATTGTAAGAAGCATAATGTTATTAGAGTTAATGATCATGTTGTGTTCATCTAAGTACATAAATATGTAATATAAGTATAACGATAATGATCATAGTTTAGAGATATAGTCAAATATGGCTAAGCTGACTTATGTAAGCGTATAAATACACATGTTTGAGTTTGTGAATAAACAACACGATTCAGTACTCTCTTATTCTTTACATGGTATCAGAGCTATAGATCCCTCTAAAGATCTAGTTGTTTTTGTTTACCTAATTTTATTTTACAAACTCTCTCAGTCCTCACGATGGGAGATGAAAAAGTTGTTGAGACCGGCGTGACCGTGACTGGTGAGAAAGTTGTGGCGTCTCTTTATTTGATCTCATCGGATAACCCAAGAGCGTTGATTACTTCTGTTCAACTTAAAGGAGAAAATTACAATGAGTGGGCTACTGAGATGATGAACGCTTTGCAAGCTAAGAGAAAGATGGGGTTCATAAAAGGTCCTTGAAGAAACCCTCTGAAGGTGATCCGCAGTTGGAGACATGGCTAAGTGTGAACTCTATGATCATGGGATGGCTGAGAACTTCGATCGAGCCAAGAGTGAGGTGATGGTTTCTTGCTGGAAGTTCCAGAAGATATAAGAAACAGGGGGAGTAATGGACAAAACGAAATTACAACAGAAAACAGAGTGGACGGTGAAACTAATGAAAATACAGAGGATGTTTAACCAAGTGTTGACAATGCTGAGATATTAGATGGTGCAATCTTGGAACTTGGGCCGGAAGTTACGTCACCTACAGTGGAGTTGGGTGAATCAGAGGCTGTGTTGGGAAGAGGACAGCGTATTAAAACGCCTTCTGTTCGTTTGCAAGATTATGTTACCTACAGCGCGATCAGTCACGATAATACCCATCATGTTCTCCCTGGTCTCTCCAACAACGTCTCTCTCAAACCGGTTCCAGGTAACTCGCTGTATCCCATTACTGAGTTTATCACTGATGACAAGTTCTCTGCCTGTCATAAAGCTTTTCTTTCAGCGGTTATAGCTGATATAGAACCAAGAAGTTACAAAGAAGCAATTCAAGATAAACGATGGATAATGTCTATGCACAAAGAAGTGGATGCTCTTGAAGTGCAAAGGACATGGAGTGTGGTTGATTTACCTCCTGGTAAAGTTGCGCTAGGAACGACGTGGGTATATAAAATAAAATACAATTCAGATGGGACAGTAGAGCGTTTTAAATCAAGACTTGTAGTTCTGAGGAATCGTCAAAAAGAAGGGACAAATTATAATGAGACATTCACTCCAGTTATTAAGATGACAACAGTAAAGAGTCTTTTGCGTATAGTGGCTTCTCAAAGTTGGGAGGTACATCAGATGGACGTTCACAACGCATTTCTCCATGGTGATTTAAAAGAAGAGGTGTATATCAGGCTTCCGCAAGGTTTTACTCACTCAGATCCTAATAAGGTTTGTAGGTTTCACAAATCTCTCTATGGTTTAAAACAACCCCGCGATGTTGGTTTGAGAAGTTATCTTCAGCCCTTACAAAGGCCGGCTTTGTTCAGTCTTATTCAGATTATTCACTGTTTTGTTACTCTCGGGGGACTGTGGAAATAAGAGTTTTGATCTATGTTGACGATCTTGTTGTGTGTGGAAATGATGGTGAAGCAATCAGTAAGTTTAAGAGCTATCTTGGGAGATGTTTCCATGTGAAGGACTTGGGTATGCTCAAGTACTTCCTCGGTATAGAGGTTGCACATAATAAGGAAGGTTTTGTTTTGAGTCAGCGAACGTATGCCTTGGGCATCGTCAAGGATACAGGTCTTCTTGGTTGTCGACCAGCAGAAATTCCAATGGAGCCGAATCATAAGTTGGGTTCGGATGATAGTGTGTTTATGACAGAGCCAGCGCGTTATCGGAGGCTTGTTGGACGTTTAATTTTACTTGGTAATACAAGACCAGACATTGCATATTCAGTTCATATTCTCTCACAATTCATGCAGAAACCACGTGAAAAGCATATGGAAGCAGCTTTGAGGGTGGTGCGTTTTCTTAAAGGAACAGCAGGACAAGGCATTCTTCTTAAATCAGACACTGATTTGCAGCTCTCAGTTTACTGCGACGCCGATTGGGGAGCGTGTCCACAGACACGACGTTCTTTGACGGCATATGTTTCACTTCTAGGAGGTTCACCTATATCTTGGAAAACCAAGAAACAGGATGTTGTGTCTCATTCGTCGGCTGAAGCAGAGTACCGGGTAATGTCCGTTGCTACTCGAGAGATCAAATGGTTGCGACAGCTGTTGAAGGATTTGGGATTTCCGCAGAAGACTCAATCTCGCTTATTTTGTGACAGCAGGTCAGCTATTTACATAGCTACTAACCCGGTTTTCCACGAACGTACTAAACATGTGGAAATAAACTGTCATCGTGTTCGTGATGCTCTCAAGGCTGGTGATTTCAACGGTGTATGTTGGAACAAAGGAGCAATTAGCTGACGTATTAACAAAGGCTTTGGGACGGTTTCAGTTCAACAATCTTCTTTGCAAGTTGGGCATGTGTAATCTCCATGCTCCCACTTGAGGGGGAGTATGAGAGATAATGATCATGTTGTGTTTATCTAAGTAGATAAATATGTAATATAAGTATAACGATAATGATCATAGTTCAGAGATATAGTCAAATATGGCTAAGCCGACTTATGTAAGCGTATAAATACGCATGTTTGAGTTTGTGAATAAACAACACGATTGAGTACTTTCTTATTCTTTACAAATGTGATGATGATTTAAGGGGAGGAACTACATTATCAACTAAACGGCCGAGAAGGAGAGACTTTGACACTGGCGACTAGACGGTGGCGTTGAGGCACTGGCAACTAGACAGTGTGGTGGAGGTGTCGGTGTTGTGTAGTAAGATTGGCTGGGAATGAATTTTATCCCATTGGTATTTGCTTTTTTCTTTTTGCTTTTGTTCTCCCCAGCAAACTGAAATAAATATGAATAGAGTCATGAGGAAGAGTTTGATTATGAGAGAAGATCAGTTTCTCATTGCAATCGTGAGAGGAAGAGAAAAAAAAAGACATGTGAAAAAGATGATAAGTGTTATAATTATATTATCTGGTTTTGATTTATATTACATTTATGTTTTTTTTTGAACAAAATATTACATTTGTGTATGTATGTTTATCATTTGTAATAAGAATAAGCATATAAAAAGAAAAAATAAGCATAAAGAATCGTACCAAAAGAGAGAGTGATATTATTATTACTTAGGAAGGGGCACTTTACAAATACACCAAAACGTTCAATTTATAGAGAAGATATGAGACATATTCACAGTGAAACATTAATAATAATGGGATCCAC